GTGTTGTGATAGAAGCTAATGACTCACTGGAAATCTGCCTGGTGTTTATCAAATGTCTCAGAGCAGGGCTGGTGGTCTGGAGTCAGTCTACCCGCTTCTTTTTTTCTTAACATTATCGTGAAGCATTAGATAAGGAGCCGAACCCGAGTGATGACACCGTCGTATATAAAGAAATAATAATAAAGAGAAGTACCCTGCAATGATATCTTGACTATATCACTCTGCTCTTTCGCTGTGGAAAATTATACTCTCAGAGGGGGAATGTGTTGAATTACCTCAGTCTGTCATCCGTCGGCGCGCTGATAAGAACGTATTAAGAAATCGCGTGTGTCGGAGACGCGGTGAACTTACACAAATAACGGCAAGAAATTTTTCTGCACGGAGTCTAGAGGCATTGCAGGCGCGGTTTAAGCGAGTACATCATTCAGTGTGGTGTATATTTTCTTTATTCTCATGCGTCTGCTCAGATTACAGCGTCCCAGTTTGAATCGATGTCAGACTTGGGCTACGTTATTTGCTAATGAAGAAAATAAACGTGTATTTTTCGCTTATTTTTCCCTAAACGGGGACAGACATGGTTTATTTTCAGAACGCCGCTTTGACGTTAATTGGTGTCTTAGCATGCCTTTAAATTTAGCTAAATTAGATTTTTTGCTTTCATGGAAAAATCTAATTGCTACCTTCGTCATCTGTTGGTGACCTTCAGAATATTAATGCTTCTAATTCGTCATAATTCATCCGTGTTTTGTTTTGTTTTTTTAGCATATTGGAAACTACAGTCGTGATCTTTAATCCACAACCCAAGCTCAGCCTATGCAACAGATGTGCACATCTACAGATCGTCGGTTTATCCTGAACACATCCCCAGAGGAGCTGGTTGGTTAGTCATGCTTCATCAGTAGGTTCGCATAAAACATGTAAAATCATCTTATGCTCTTGGGTATCTCCCAGTAGAACCACTGCCAAAAGCAAAAGGGTCTTTTTTTTTTTTTTTTTTTTTTTCCAGGAATACCAGCCCTGCTGCTCCCTAACTCCCCTCTCCATCTTTTCTTCCAGCCCTCCTCCTCCCCCTCCCCTGGCACAGCGCCAGCCTTCCCTCAAATTTCATGCATCTGGTCATTTCTGGGAAACACCCACGGCAGCACTGTCCAGCAAACCACAGGAAACAAAGCCTCTTGGTTTCTGCAGCAGCTTGAAGAAGGCCAGTAGTTGCCCTCAGGGACGGGTCAGGCAGCAGGGCGAGATGGTTGTGGACTTTCTAGGAATTCTGTTTTGAAGGGAACATTGTGTAATCCTCGACTGTTTTCTTGTTTTGACGACGACATGCCTTTTTTTTTTTTTTTAATGCTGCTGAAGCCATACCTCTCATTGTTTCTCCCATTTAGCTTGAGATTGAGGGCAAACTCAATAACTGTTGTTAGAACAAAAGCTCTCCAGAACACTTGATGTTGCAGAGAAGATTGCTTTTACGGCTGTTCAGAGTTGCCAAGTAAGAATTTAACTAATCTAAAAAGAAAAGCCTAAATAAAATTACCCTGAACCGCTCAGGTGTCCAGAGGCCACGCTGGGATCACGCTGAGGTTTTCCATTACGAGACACGCCTGATTCTGTAGAGGGAAAATGCGGCTCCTTAACACCTCCGGGCCATGATACACCCTCAGCCGTCTTCCTCTTCCTCTATTTTAGAGTCCTGTGAATGACTCATTCATGCTCTCGATTTAGAAAGTGAATCAACAAGCATCAGAGGAAGACCTCGGAACAGAAGAGCAGCAGATGGCTTCCGCTTTGTTTTATGAAAACGCTCGACAGACCTGGCTGCAGAAGCATCCGCGGATATTCCTCGGTGTGGGAGAGCAGTGGAGAGGCGCAGTTTTAGCTTCATCGCAGCAAATCAGATTGCAGATCAGATCAGTCCTCTGGTCGCTGCGAGGAACACCGAGTGCGGATTCACCGTGCTGTTCTGGGTGGCGAATCCCCCCGCCGTCCAAACAGGTTTATAGACAAATAAAAATGTTCCCGAAGCTCCTGTTAAAAATCTGGATGCAGTGAAAACATCCTGAAGCTGATATAAAAGCTGAAAACTTTATATTTTGCCGTGACGACGATGCTAAATGATGCTGCAGCAGTGTTTGCGTTACAAGACAAACTCGCCGACTGCGTGTGACGTCTCCGTGACGTCTCTGCTGAGTCAGACCGCGGCGCTTACGTCACCGTCGGGAGCAAAACGCACATCGAGCCTCGAAAGTTTGCTTCAGCGTCGGCGTTTATTTACATGCAGCGTGGAGTGCTGCTCTCCGCTCACTTAACGTCAAATCGGCTTCATAAACTAACCTCCGCCAGCTCATCGGGTGGAGGCTGGAAGTTCACGTCAACCGGTTCTCAAGGTAGTTTCTGGTGTTGTCAGCGGGGCCACGGGTCAAGTTCTTTAGTTTCAAGAGTCAAGTCTCAATTCCCGGCTCTTAATTCTTAATGGCCGGACCGATGAATATTAATGGCGGAGCTGACCAATGTCTGTGTAATGGTACTCTCCTGTGTTTCCATTCTGTGGCCACTCATTTGAATACATTTCGGATAAAGTCAGTCGCTTTGCAGTCATAAATAGCAGCAAATATCCCGTAATTGGTTCAGCTCTGGTTTGGTCTGCAGCTCATGGTTTAGATTTTGTTTTGCTTTAAAGAAAATTTGAAAATTGTTTTTATCAGTTCCCAAAACTAAATGTAAATCCCTATTTTTAATTGTTGTTAATTTTGGATTTAATCAGCTTTCCAAAACCCATAGATGTTCAGTTTTTTTTTTTTTTTTTTGGTCTTATAAGAAAATAAGCAAAATCTCACTTTTGATCGATCGTCGATTAATCCACTAATGGCTGCTGCTCTATTTTGATGATGGTACAGGGGTCTCAAATCCTGGTCCTTGAGGGCCACAGTCCTGCATGTTTTAGCTGTTTCCTTTTCCAACACACCTCATTCAAATGATCAGCTCATCATCAAGCTCTGCAGAAACCTGATAACGATCCTGATCATGTGAATCAGGTGTGTTGGAAGAGGGACACATCTAAAACATGCAGGACTGTGGCCCTCGAGGACCAGGATTGCCCACCACTGTGATGGTAGCATTAGAAAATAAAAAAATATGGCTAACAAAGATGCTTTTTTCTCCCCATTATGACATTGATGCGTACTTTGTCCCCACTTTTTATCGCTCGAGGCAAAAAATTTGTAGATTTGGTCACATGTGGACGAAATCTGGGTGAAAACAAACGGATCTGCTGCTCTGTTCTACTTCATTTAAAACAGGGATTCAGTGAAAACACAAAAAGAAATGATGAGCCTTATCTCTGAAATCCAGAGATGACTCCACGCGATCGCTCGGTGTGCACACGGCGGTATGAAGACGTATGAATCCTTTCTGCCTCCGCGCCTCTTTCAGGTTCCATCTCCCAGTGTGTCTTATTTTCGCTCTGTATCTCCTCTTCTATTACTCTCTCCATTGGCCTTTGTCCGCCTCGCTCTCTGTGTTCTCCGTCTTTCCGCGGACGCTGAGAGTTTGTGTCTAGTTGAATCAGAGGCTGTTAATCTGGTAATCCTCAATCAATATCAGCCTCATCTCTTCCCTTCAGATAAAAGTGGCCTATCTGATAATTATATTTTCCTCTCCATGTCTGTAAAAGGCTGCCCTTTCCCTCCGTGCTTTGTTTTGGTCCCTGGGATTCTTCTGCTGCTATCGATCTGGTCTGACCACATGCACCGGGCCCTTTCATACACACGACTCTCATAAAAAGTATGTGGCATTTGCACTGCATAGTGTGTCTCGTTTCTGAAAACAAATGCTTGATATGTGATCTGAAAAAGGCTCTGCACTGTCAGCTAATGTCTCTGTGATTGATTGAAGCAAACAGCGGCTTCGGCACTGCTGACAATATACTGTATGCCATCAAAGTATAAAAACAAATGGTTTTTACTCTACTCTGTTGTGAAAAATATCTGTTTTTTACAGCTAAACTCACTTATCGTGAGTGTACTAGTGCACCAGAAATCTGTAATTAGGTTATTATTATTTGAGAAGGAGACATCAGCCTCGTGGGTTTTTGCGTAATGCTCTCAAGTGGAACGGATGAAACACAAAACTAAACTCATCAAAGTCACAGATCTATTTTCAGACGTGGAAATTGCCAAAATGTAATTGTTTTCAGTCCAGTGATTTCACGTTGTAGGTTTTGGCTGCAGCCGTCTTCACTTGTCATGGCAGGTAATTTAAACGAAAACCGAGCAGATTCGCTAATTGAGTGAAAAACGAGGCTCCTGAACCCGTGGCCTCAGCGTCATCGAGACGCCCTCGAGGACGTCGGGTCGGATGCTGTTTGTTCTTATGGGTTTGCGTGTCTGAGACAGGAAAGGAGTGGGGATGACGTCTGAGTGTAGCTGCGGTTACTTTGACTGAATGCTGTTTTTGTCCGTCAAGATCATCGCTCATCATTTGATGTTGAGGTTTCTTCATGCAGATTTACCTGTTGTGCATACAAACATATGTTGTTCTGAGAGGTTCACACTGTGCAGGAACAAGATGCAATGATGGAAAAATGGAGGAAACACTGTAAAAGCATTGCAGCGTCTCAAAAGTTGCATCCAACTTTGCTAGTTTTGAGAATAATCAGGCCGGTTGCATCTGTGTGGAGACACTGTGTTCCAGGTGGCAGCTCCGCGTGCAGCCAGTAGGGGGAATCGACTGCTCGCGCTGGAGCCGTCCCCTCTCCTCTCCACTCCTCTGCTCCTCTTCCCTGCCGCCTTCTCCCAGGTTGTGGAAACGCTGCAGCCCGCTGGTCTGTGTCTGGATCCCTCTCTCTCGCTCAAAGACCCTCCCACCGGCTGGGCTCGGGAAGGAGGAGGCAGTCTGCTCTGCTCGAGGCAGCCTTCGGACGAGCCCCCTTTACCACCCTGTCAGTGTGGAGGAGAAGGAGAGAGAGAGAGAGAAAGAGAGAGAGAGAGAGAGAGAGAGAGAGAGAGAGAGAGAGAGCAGCTGTGTGACAGAGAGAAAGAGAACGAGGCAGGCTGCTTAGAGGAGTGAGAGAGCCAAGGAAGAAATAAGGAACACATTTTACAAGAGCAGAAAGAGGGAGGATCGCAGCCGAGGGACTCCTTCTCCACTGGACACCCAGGACACAGTCACTGTGGGGTTTTTTTTTCACTCATCTACTAGCTGGAACTCAGTGGATTGACTAACCAACCAGTGGATTTTTTTGTTTGTTTTTAATATACTCTTGTGCCACATCGTTCAGAACCTGGGATCTCTGCTGTCTGTCTGTCTGTCTGTCCTCCGGCTGGCTCTACCGCTACAGACTGAGATTGCTTTCTGTGTCTGCGCTCAGCTCTCGTGTTGTGATTCTGCCTCCCCCCCTTTCGCTCAAAGTGCATCTGTCGGCAACCGGCGGCGCTGAGGATATCTCCCCCTCTGTCAGACAGGACAGCCATCGTCGAATCAGGCTCCAGAGGCGAGAGGAGAAAGTGTGTGTGCATGTAAGAGAGGGAAACGAGAGCGAGGGGCAGCGAGAGAGAGTCAGATTCACAGTGTGTCTGAGAGAGAGGCAGATTAAAGCCCAGGCGAAAGACTGGAGAGGAACAGCTTAAACAGAGAAGTGAACCTATACGTCCTCTCCCGTTTTCCTCACCATTCCTTTCCTCTTCCTCTCCTCTTCTCCTCTTCCTCTCCCATTTTCCAACATTCATAGGACTGCCAGAGCTACTGCCACCTGCACCTCCTCGCGTCTTCTCTCTCCTCCTCTTCTTCCTCTACCTCACCCTTATCACTATCCGATAGCGGTCTCGGTTCGAGCACTTGTGGAAATATTTCCGTTGAACCGGCAGTGAGAGACTGAGCGAGCATCCGCCTGATCCCGAGTCTCTGGACACAGTGAGGCACAGTTTGCCAGGAGCTTCCCCGTCAGAGGCGGACCTTCTCCCAGCCACTGTCCACCACGCAGCAGACCCTGCCTTCTCCCTGGAGGACCAGCTTGCGACACAGTGGTGCGGACAGCGAAGACAGGAATTGCACAGTCCCCCTCCGTTGCCTCTATCCCATTGCTAGCTACTTGGCAGCTCCCGCCCCCGTGTCACCATTCCCTGCCTCAGTGCTAAGGATTCCAGCTACATGGGCAAGCGATTGGAGCAGCAGCCAATGTACCCTCAGTACACCTACTACTACCCCCACTATCTCCAGACCAAGGTATGCCGCTCTTCTTTCATTCCTCGAGCCCACTCATCTTACTCCCACACTCCTACCCTGTCTCCCTCCCACCCTTCCTCATCCTCACCACCCACTCCCCCCCTCTCTCCTCTATTCCACCCCCTCTCCACGTCCTCCTCTCCTCTCTGAGTGGAGATGGGATTGGTGGAGGCGCCGTGGTTTCAGACGGCAGGTATACCTCGTTGGAGTTTGGACGTCTCTGTCATGTGTCGCTGAGTGAATGATCAAGGATTAGGGATCAAGGTTGGAGGCTTTGGCTTCCTGTTTGGTCAAGGCTGGTAGAGCGTAACTGGGATGTGTCCAGTAGCCTCCATCCGTCAGTCGCCTGCCAGCTACCGAGCTCCCAGTGATGTGATGTGCATGATGTGTGATGTTTTAAGGCATATCTTAATCAAAACGACCAACTGACACCTCTTTCTGTGATGTCGCACTTTCAGGAAATAAAAGAACGAGGATCTCAAATTAGCACATCGACGAAGTGTTTGCAGGCCATCGCTTGAAAGCTTCTGAAACAGAGCATCTCATAACGAAGTTGCTAATTTGCTAAACCGAACAAATGCAGTCACAACGAGAGGGCAAACAGGTGACGAGCTTCCCTCTTTCTATGGCGCCGGTATAGTTGTGACACAGAGCAGGCATGAGGAAGGCTGCCCGTGTTTGTTCTAGTTGTAGTATGCATCAGTGCCTCTGGGATGGAAGCCCAGGCTTGGGCCCCGATGGCTGCCAGGACATTGGCTGGGCACACTAACCAGACATCATCAAGGGATTAAAATGGAAGCCTTTTGGGGATTACTTTATTTGTTTTTCCTACCACATGCGTAACACTAATTTCTCTCCATTATGGTGATGGTGCGATGCACGGCCGTGGCAGGGCGACGTGCTGCAGGTGTGCAGTTGAACTTTGTGCGGCAGTTAAGTCTCATTAAACGATGCAGTTTCGATTATTACTACAAAAATCAAACACATTATTGTTCTTTTCACATTTTATGCGCTGATCTCATGTGACTATTAATTATCCTCCAATGTTTGTATAGAGTCAGAGTTTATACTTGACACTTTTTTTTAGTTCCAACCTTCAGATTTTTAGGTTAATAACAGCATAAAATAATCCATTGTTTTGATTTCGGTTCTGCTGTTTTTATTTTTAATCTCTGCTCAGCTGGAGAAACAAAAGTTCAGATGTGTCAATTCTGCTCTATTTACAGCAAACAGATGAAGCAGGAAAACATTTTTTAAAGCAAAATATGCATCGTTAAAATCAATAAAGCACAATGAGACACATTAGCAGCCATGTTTTCCGTGTGGAGAGCTGCATTTTGAACCGTTGCACTTCCAGCCGGGAGGACCTGACTGCAGCCCCACCTGGCAGTCCACTAGCTCTCCCCCTGATTTATAGTTTAATACATTTGTACTGCTGCCATATGGCTTCCCTCTCCCTCCCTCCCTCCCTCCCTCCTCTACTCCTACCATCATCCCGCTCGCCCTCCCTCCCTCCCTCCCTCTCCCCCTTCTCATATCTCAGAGTTGCTCATCTCGAGGGCCTCTCAATCAAGGCATGCCCCTCCATTCTCCCATCCCTCCCTCCCACTCCCCTCCCTCTCTTCCTCCCGCCTCTCACTTTCTGCCTCCCCTCACTGTTGCAACAGGGCCCTCTGCCTCCTCCGCCTGTGCTGCAGTTCACTCCCAAGGTCAGCGCAGATCTGATCTTGCCACCGTCAGCGTTTGATGCATCCTTGGGCGAGCTGCTAGGGGTCCTGTGTCATGCAAACGAGACCCAGAGCGGAGCGTGCGGGGCAGAGAGAGCGTGCATTTCCCTTTTATAAATCGGCGGCCAACATTCATATTCATTTTCATGGTTAGTTAGCGTCGCCAGTGGCCTTGTAGGTTGATACGACAGAGCCACAGACGGGGGTCAAGAGGAGAAAGGGAGGCTGGGAGAGAGGCCAGGGTGTTGGGCAATGTGGCCAAGAGGGCTGTGGAGAGCTATCTCACGCTCTCATTAATGATCATTGATAGCTCGATTACAGAGAGGGGAGAAGGGCCTTGGCTGGCAGGTTCACACCACTCGACAAAATCACACACAACTGTTACTTTGGCCTCGCACACTCACACAAATTTACTGCAGGTTCCCCTTTCTGCATGCACACGCTCTGCAGAGTCTCAAATCACAGACGTCTTTCTGTTAATCAATGTGCGACCTCCCAGGAGACGTGGACGGAGGAACATAAATAATGTGGAATAACTCGTATGGAACTGTTATTCTTAAAGTGTTTGCATGGAGATTTTACAGAGCATATATGGTCTTTTACAACATTAATGTTAAAAAAAAGGAGCTAAATAATGTCATAATGATATGACAGGAGAAGCAGAGGCCCCGTCTCTAAACTGGGGGTCCCCTCTGTATGTCTGTGTTATATTCTAATTTAATGGAGTTCTTTGATGCCGTCCAGCATGTGCTAGTCAGCCCAGATTAGAATGTGAAAGTCAGAGAATGAGATGAAACAATAACATTTGGCTTTCTATTGATTAGTGCAGTGGGGCGTAGCATGTGCTTCTCTTTAGCTGAATTATTGATTCCTGAAAGAGGATTTGTGTGTCCGTGTGTTGGCGTGTCTGTGTGTGTGTGTGTGGCTTTTATATGAGGTTATGGCTGGGGGGAGCTGGCAGGATGTTGCTTTGATGAAAGGATCCTTTAAAGGCCCTATTTCTGTCTATTCCCCGGATGATCAGTCCATGGAGTCATTTACTGAAATCCAGCCTTTATTCAGCCTGTGTCTTTCTGCGTGAGCTTGATGGCTGCTGCTGTTCGCAGCTTGCTGTGCATTCAACTTTAATGATAGGTAATAGATGTGCATCATAAATGAGAAAATTACAGTAAAATGCCTGAGCCAGGTCCCAGCCAGACCCCTCCCCGCGCCCGTGAGAACAATTACAGCACACAGTACAGTTATTGTTGTTCCACGCCGGTGTTTAGGGAAGAATATGATTTTTTAACTAAATGTGTGCACTAAGTGCCGTTTTAACTCAACAACGGGCTTTTTTCAGGTCCGTTTCATTATCACAACTCTCAATAGGAACTCTGGAATTACCGCTAATTTACCTTGAATACCTGCCGTAGATTCTGCCTCTGTTGTGATATTCAGTTGGCTCCACTGTCGCTGAACTGTATGTACCCGGTGCTGCTGTACCCGTCTGCTGTTACTGCCACCGATAGGCTAGGTCATTACATGCTTAATGTCAGCGATCACTTGCACAGACAAACACACACACACACACACACACACACACACGCTTGCACTGTGGTTGTGATCTGGGAGCTGGCAGGGCTCTGTGTTACAGCCAGACTAGTACATACAGAATCTGAGAAGCCGAGAGGGGCAGATTGAGGTAGATTTAGCGGCGGCTAATGTCCCTGGCCTTAAGTAAACACCAGTCAATGAAGCCCTTTGAGAGGATCTGCGCCTGTTTCTCTGCCCCCACCATAGGCATCATTTATACGCCGTCTAATTCTTTATAAATGGAGGGAAGGGTTGCATGTGGGTGAGAAGGAAAGACAGAGTGGAGGCGTGGATGTTATAGGGAGGGAAGGGCCGGTTAAAAGCAAGGAAAAGGGTTTGGTTACGGGCTGATCCACTGTGCTGCAGAAACAACAACAGAGCCGATCTAAATCCTCCTTTAATGCCCCGATTGAGGAAAAAGAGAAACACGGAGACGACGAGGGGGGGGGGGGGGATGGACTTGCATAGAGTGGAGAGCAAATCAAAAGCAGAGAGAAAGGACCTGTTTCCAAAGTCTGTCATTAATTCAGTTATCAGCGGCGTAAAACTCGGCTTAGTTCCCTCCGTCTGCGCTGATGTGGTTCCGCTTTGAAGAGTTTATCAAGCCTTTTAAGAGGGGAAATATACACATCTTGTATTACATTTCCTAAAGCCCAGCCCTGTTTTGAGTCCAGGACAATATGTTCTTATTAGCACCAAGACAGGGCTAATATAAGTCACTTCCCCAAGTATGTGCTTCACAACTGAATGGCTGAAACAAAACACATCGCCCGCCTGGCTGTAAATGAACCCATCACGTCTTAGCTCACTCATATTGTCAGGAGCTCCGGTTTGCTGTCTTTTTTTTATTTTTTTCCTTCACCTCGTAGTCAGGAAGCTTTCTGCTAATTATTAAACGAATATCTCCTGTCGTTATCTGCTGATGCCTTTGGCTTCATCCAGCTTTAAAATGCCTCCGTGTCAGTCACTGGGGCAGACAGCTCTATTTATTTGCCACGGCCTTTGTCTACACACACACACACACACACACACACACACTCACGCTACGGTGGGGGCTTCTCTTAAACCTTCTCATCTGTCAGCTGACAGCCCGGCCCTATCTGCACACCCATACATTAAGGCTGTGTTTGCATTAATGCTTCTGGCGGGCCTCTCGTACAGTACAGCTCAGAGCGCGGCGCCGAGGCCCGGCCCGTTGCATGCTGCCTTCCTCATCTCATTACAGCTGCTTTACCAGAGTGCTCTCTCAAGATTGATATCCATTTTGTTAGAAGAGGAATGGAGGAACATACAAAGGAGAGGGAGAGAATCTTGTTTGTATTCTATGGGCTGGAGGAAGCTGCTCTGCGTTAGCTCTGGAGTAGAAAGGGATTAGAAATGTAGCGGCCATGTTGGATGTGTGTGTGTTTGTGTTGCGTAGTTTACAAGATTGTACGAGACAATTATTAAGTTTCAACCGGTGCACAAACATTGTGTTTGCGGCCGATTGTGTGATTGCTAGACGGTCTGGCGCGTCGCGTGAAGGTCTCAAAACCAGGTCGCATATTTCTCCTCTTCACGGCCGTCTTTGTGTTTTATTGAAGTGTCCTTGAGCAAGTCACAGAACAAAGTACCTGCTCACTTACTGGAGGTTGCTGTGAAGAAAAAAAAAAAAAAAACGAGTATCCAAGATAAATGCCTAAAATATAAAATGGTATGCTC